TTCTCTGCATAGAAGCAGAGTAGAATGGTGGTTACCAGGGTCTGGGGAGAGAGGGAAATGGGAGTTGCTGTTCAATGGGTACAGAGTTTCAGGCATGTAAGATGAAAAAGTTCTAGAGATCTGGTGTACAACACTGTGTCTACAGTTAATGCTGTGTTTATGCTTAAACATTTGTTAAGAAGGTAGATCCCATGCTAAGTACTCATATAACAATAAAAAAATGAATTAAATGTAGAAAAAATAGAAAATGAAAATATTGAATCTAAAATATTATTTTTTACCACAAAAATGTATTCATCAATAAATGATCCATATAGGGGTCCTGATCAAGGTGGCAGAAGTGGTAAATGCTGTGCTTGCCTCCTCCCAGGACCACATCAAAATTACAACTAAATCATAGAATAATAAACCTAGACAACCATCTGAACGCTAGCTGAACATAAGTCTTATAACTAAGGATATAAAGAAGCAGCAGCATAGAGACTGGTAGGAGGGACAAAGACATGAAAGTGGTGGGCCCCACACCCATGTGCAACAATTGAGAACTGGGACATCTCTGCCGTAGAGGACCTAATTTCTGCCATTCCAGCCCCACACCAGGCTCCCAGCCTGGAATACTGCCAGGAAGAGGAGCCTCCAAAACACCTGACTGTGAAAATCAGCAGGGATTCTGTCCATCCTCAGACAAAAGGCTTCTGAGGGTCAGTCCCACCCCCTGAGGTGCCAACAGCAGTCAAAGCTCAACTACAACAAGACAGCACACACAACCCACACAAGGGGCACTCGTGAAGCGCCTAGCTCAAGTGATCAGGGAGACCAGGCCCTCAGGACACCTACTGCATAATGCCACCCTGCAAGCCTGGGAGACATAGCAGATCTACCTAATACATGGAAACAAACAGAGAGAAGCCGCCAAAATGTGGAGACAAAAATACATGGCTTGAAGAAAGAACAGAAGAAGTCTCCAGAAAAAGAACTAAACAAAACGAAGGCAAGCAATCTACCAGATACAGCGTTCAAAACATGGTTATGAGGATGTTCAAGGAACTTAGTGAGAACTTCAACAAAGAGATAGTAAGCATAAAAAAGGACACAGAAACCAGAAAAAGGAACCAGGCAAACATGAAGGCTACCATAACTGAAATGAAGATTACAATAGATGGAAGCAACAGCATATTAGATGAAACCCAGGATCAAACCAGAAAGTTGGAAGACAAGGTAGCACAAAACATCCACTCAAAACAGCTCTTTATCTGCCCTTTAATTCTAAATGACAGCTTTGCTGGGTAGAGTAATTTTGGTTATAGGTCCTTGCTTTTCATCATTTTGAATATCTTGTGCCAAACCCTTCTGGCCTGAAATGAGTCTGTTGAGAAATCAGCTGACAGTCTTATGGGAGCTCCCTTCTAGGTAACTGCTTTTCCTTTTCTGCTTTTAAGATTCTCTTTGTCTTTAACCTTTAGCATTTTAATTATGATGTCCTTGGTGTGAGCCTCTTTGGATTCATCTTGTTTGGGATTCTCTGTGCTTCCTGGATTTAAATGTCTCTCCTTCACCAGGTTAGGGAAGTTCTCTGTCATTATTTTTTCAAATAAGTTTTCAATTTTTTGCCGTCTCTCTTCTTCTTCTAACACCCCCATGATGAAAATGTTAGTATGCTTGAGATTCTCCCAGAGGCTCCTTACACTATCTTCATTTTTTTACTCTTTTTTCTTTCTGCTGTCCTGATTGGGTGTCTTTTGCTTCCTTATATTCCAAATCACTGATTTGATTCTCTGCTTTCATCTACTCTACTGTTGATTCACTATAAATTATTCTTCCTTTTAATTAGTGTATCCTTCATTCTGACAGGTTCTTTTTTATGGTTTCCTTTTTAATGCTGTTGAAGTTCTCACTAAGTTCAGTGAGCACCCTTGAACTCTGTATCTAGTAGGTTGTTTTCTCCATTTTGTTTAGCTCTTTTTCTAGAGTTTTGTCCTATTCGTTCATTTGGAACATGTTTCTTCGTCTCCTCATTTTGGCAGCCTCCATGTGTTTGTTTCTATGTATTAGGTAGAGCTGCTATGTCTCCTGGGCTTGGTAGAGTGGCCTTATGTAGTAGATGTCCTGTAGGGTACAGTGGCATAGCCTCTCCTGATCACTCAAGCTGGGTACTCTGGATACGACCCCCCACCCCACCCCATGTGAGCTGTGTATACCCTCCTGTTCTAGTTGAGCCTTGGTTGCTGTTAGAACATCAATGGGAGGGATTTACCCCCAGTACAACTGGCTGCAAGGACTGGCTGTAACCACCAACCACCGCGGAGGACCAGCAGGGGACCATCCCACAGAGGACTTACTTCAACAGTACTCTGGTGCCCACTGAGTCTGTCCCTTGAGTGTGTCACTTGTGGAGGTAGTAGGGTGGTGCTCTGATGTGATCTGAATCTGTCCACCAGGTGCACTGGCTCTGGAGCCTCTCAGGTGGTGCAGGCAAAGGTCAGCCGCCACCTATGTTCTGCTCAGGGCCACCTGCCATGAGCTACAAAACAATCTGCAGATGGCTGCTACTTGTGCTGGGCTTGGAGGTACCCAGGAAAGGCCAAATTGTGAACCAAAGCCAGCTGCTGCTAGTGCTGGGCTTAGGACCACTTAGCTAGAGTTACAGGGCATGCTGAGGCCAGATGTTGCTTGTTTGATAGATTTTAGAACAGTTTGAAACATGAGCCAAGACAGGTCATTTGTATGGAAAAGCCACTGGAAACAGCTTGGGTAGGCCTGTAAACTGGGTGGGGTGGGGTCTCAGGGAATCACCAGGGTGCAGTAAATAGTGTGAGCCATGTTGATGGAGACTCAGATATGATGCTGCTTTCCAACTCTGGGGTGAGGGATGTCTCTGAAAAGGAACAGTGGCCTCTGCCAGCACTTCTGTCTGACAGAAAGCTGCTGCCCCCAGCTCTTGCCCTGATGTCAGACATTTCAGTTCCTCCCCATATGTCCCTGTTACCTTTCAAGCTGCTGTCCCAGTGCTGGAGCTCAGAGGAAGTGAGTCTGAGTATATCTATGCACAGGTCCTGTAAGAGGAACTGCCTGAACACCAGCAGCCTTCCATCTCCCTCAGCCACAATCCCTGATGGTTTTGTCAGAAGTTATGGGGACTTCTCTTCCAGGCACTGGAACCCTGGCCTTCTGTGGGACTGGGCCCCCTCATTCCTTGGGGGGGGGGGCTCTGCAGCTGAGACATCCCTCCCAATTTTTATCCACACATGTGGGTGTGGGATTATCCTGTTCTGCGACTCTGCCCCTCCTACTAGTCTCCATGTGGCTTCTTTAAATCCCTAGTTGTAGGACTTCCATACAGCCAGATTTCAGGCAGTTCTGAATGATGGTTGTTCTCTAGTTGTAATTTTGATGTGGTGGTGGGAGGATCTGAGTACTGCATTTACCTCTGTCACCATCTTGACCAGAAGTTCTGCCTATTTTTTTTAAAAAAGTAGCACTTCTCGATTTAGTAGCTTGATAAGAAGTTTTTTCTTTTGTTCTGCAGTAGGTGGCAGTGAAGCACAGTTTTTAAGTTTCTCTTGCTCTGTTCTGGTTTGTCAGCTCTCTGCAGGATGGTGGAAAACGCCCTATATTCCCTGGGGAGGTGGGCATCTCCTCTGTGACCAGGTCACCTCGGTTCCAGGTTTCTAGCCCCATGGAGCAATGTGGTTGGCGATGGGGTTCCAAGCCTGTAAAATCCCAATGCTGACATCTGCAGAGATGAGTGGGGGTGGGGTGACCTGGGAGAGGCCGAGTGGTGTTTGCAGATTTGTTCTCCTCCCAGTAATGGTGACAACTAGGCCTCAGCTGCCTCACCTTTGTATCTTCGCCTGTCAATGGCATTAGCCAAAGCGTGCACCTGCCACTCAGGGGAAAAAGCATCTGTTGCTCCAGTTCTCAGGGCTGCAGATAACATGCTCTGTAACTTAACACTCATGGCTACAGCTTCTTTGGGGGCTTGCTGCTAATTCTGGGAGGGTGAGGGGAGGCAGCCAGGCTCCGTGGCTTTGTTTTTCTGCCTAGCAATGGCGGCCACCATACAACCACAGCTACACCTCGGCTACACCTCTGCTCAGGTCACTGGGATCAGGCGCAGCACATACCAACCACTCCATTAGGAATGCTCACCTCACTGTATCTCTCTGCTCCTCTGGGCTACAGGGAGTGCAGGAGGCAACCTGACTCCTCCCCTCTCCTGAGACCTGCAGCGAGCTCCGGGCTGCATCTGTAGTATCCGTCCCTGCTCTTCTCCCTCCCCTTCTCCCCCAGACTCTCCCACCTTCAGATGCTTCAATGTGTGGATCTCTCAGACATGTTTGTACATTGAGCAGGGAATCCTTTACTGAATTATAGCTGTTCAACTTGTAACTTCAAGGGGAGAAACCAGGGGGACCTCTCACGTTGTCATTTCTCTGACGTCACTCCTCCATTCTTTCATGTTTTAACTTTCCCATGCTCTGAACTCAAATATAATAGTTAGAAAACCCTCTGTTTCTCAAAAAGATAGTAATACTGAGAAAGTTCACAGTTCCAGTGACCATTGCCATCTAGGCAACTCAGAGTGGTCTTTACGTGCGGACCGTCCCATTTTTCCATGGAAATTGAATACCCACATCTGCAAGGGACCTGAAGTGTGGGTTCATTCACTCCTCTAATGCATCGCACCAAGACAACACCAGAACTCAGGCCACCTGGCCTGATTCCACACACGTATGATGACAGATACACAGCTGGAGGGCGGAGAGAACCATGCGTTCCCCCTTCGCTTTTTCTTTTGTCTATCTCTCCACTAGATGTAAACTCCTGTGGGCAGGATGTTGTGACCTAAAACAGTTCCTGGCCCAGATTAAGTGCTCAATACATATCTGATGAAGGAAGGGGCGTTATCAGTCACTGAGGTGCCATCAGACAAATGGCCTGCCTGGTCCCTCCAAGCTGGTCCCTCAGACATGCATTCCTCTGACCCAGGTCCCTCCTACCTGGGTGGCCCCTCAGGCGGCTCTCGGTGAGCTCGGAGATGGTTCCAGCTGTCGAAGTCTTTTTCAGTCGAGCTACCCCAGAAGCAGTGGTACCTCCTGGTTTGTTGAGCATGTCCTCGCTACTGGCCCTCTTGAGCTAAGAGAGAGGTAGAGGGGATAGAGAGTTACATTTTCAGTGCGGAGTGCTGTAAACCAAACGGCATGTGAGCACTGCCACCTTCCCAGAGGCTAAGACACAGTGATGGCACTTGGAGGAGCACTACGGTGCGAATGGACCAGTGCAGAGCTAGACAGGCCTGCGTGTATCTTTCATAGGTCCGAGTATGATCTTCCATCACTGTTGCAAAGAACAGAGTAAGATCATGGGTGAATATTACCCATCATGTCACACTTCAAATAATGAATTCTTAAAAACCCTGCTTTCCTGAAAAAATATTTTTTCAAAGAATGAGGGCTGATGGAAAAAGAACTGTGAGATGCACCAAAGTCAGGACATGGCAATGCACAAAATAATGCAAGGGCAGCAAAATTAGCTTGAAAATATATGGCTGGAGGAAGCAGAGAGGAGAGATATGAAAGACCTGAATATCTGCCATGTGTTCAACACCAATATGATCTATAGGCAACGTGTTCAAAGGGAGGAAAGGAACTTTTTTGGAGGCCAAATGAACACCATTAATGAATGACTGAAAGAAAAGCAGAACCCCTCACTCCTTTCCTGCTTTCTTCTCTGCCATGAGAAGGGAGAACAAACATATGTTGAAAGAAATTGAAGTTTAACAGGGGCACCCCCCCATTCAGCATCTCTGGCCTGTCTGGAGAGAGGCCATCAGGAGTCGGTGAGGCCTTTCTCCAAGTTCACAGTTAGTATGACAGTGATGTCACTCAGGGTAGGATTCATCAAAGTGAATATGCAATGGAAGATGCCAAACGAGGGTCGGCCACAGTTGGTTTGAAATAAAACACCTGTGCATGGTTGGTTGCACCGAGGAGAGCACAGTGAGAGCCTGCAGCCCATCAGAAAACAATCCTACACGTTGACAACCATATTAGTATCTCAACTGCGGACCCGCTGCTGGTGCCAGGCTGTTGTGCAGTTTTATGCACCAGGAGTGTTTTGGATTCCAGATTTGTATTTGACACACCTCTTCCTGTGTCTTGCCTTGTACCCGCAACTTCACTGAAACCATATAACGGGAAACAAGACCCAGACGCCAACACATGGATGTGGCCGAAGACCATCGGTGCTGGGCTGCTCGTTGCTGGTTATGATGCTGCGGGCCCTCATCGTTTCCAAACCTGCCAATCTGCTAACTATTCTGACTGCAGAGCTAGGTCCACTGAAGCCCATTCCCAGGCAGCCCATACTTGCTTGGAGAGACCTATGTTGAGTGCATGGAGTGCAATTTGAATGACCTGGTTAGCATGGTCTGCGTGCTTTAAGGAGACGCGTCCCACAGAGTAGGACCTAACTGCAGAATGTTTCCGTTTCATTGTTAAAGACTTGAGTTGACAACTTATGATGAGGACAAGGCGTCTCCACGCCTGGAAGGCCTGGAGAAAGGCCACAGGGAACTGCACAGCCTGCTCCACCTGCTGTGAGCCTGCAGGGACGGCTGATGAACCGGCGCAGGGAGGGTAACCCTGTCTACATGCGCATCACCACATGTAAGGACGCAGGCACGTGTACTGATGACAATAACCTACACTCAGAACCAAAAGATGCAGTGGGGAATGGTATGTGTTAGGAATCAGTCCGAGGTGAATTTTTTCCAAGCAACTCCACTGAAACCATGTACTGGGATGCATTTTTCTTGGAGAGGGTCTATACAGTCATACTCTAGAAAGTAGAGTTGTTTGTACTGATGTTTTTATATGAAGAACATAGTGTCTTTGAGGTTTTAAAGACAACTGTGAAATAAAATTGTTTCATCTGCTGGTAAGAAAAAAGAGGGGGACCCCTAAATGATCTAACGCTTCTAGCCCAGGAAAATTACATTCAAGGTTAATGAGAAAAACCGCAAGGACTTCTCCCAACCATTGTAAGTCTCTGAAGAATACTGCTGAGGAGGAATAGTTCTAGAGCAGCGATTTTCAACGCGAGCGCTGCAAGCATTTTTAAAACATGCAAACGTGACCATTCAGTCAGGGCACCGACCTCTTCTCCCGTAGGGTGTCACATATAAAGACAGCAGCATCCAGCACGACAATAGCTGCCCGGTGTGATTCGAATTATACCTATTTTTTGTCAGATCAGCAAAAAATACATTTTTTGGTAATCCGTTTATGTGTGCCACGAGAGGAAAACGGCCGACAGCCGCTGCTCTGGAAGCCTGGAGACAGGGAGATGCCCTGAGCCACTACGAATGCAGCTGACACCTGGGAGGACAGCACCGAAGGGCCTGTAGGTCCCAAGACGGAGGACGCAGCTCCGCCCACACCGGCCTCGGGCCAAAGGCCCCCCTCCACCCTCCTCCACAGGCTTCAGGGTGAGCTACTGAGAATTAGGGGTTTCCAGATTTTCAAAATTAAAAACATTTTTCCCCACTCTTGCACTGTTTAAATTTCAGAGTACGGCATACCCCCAGATTAGCTTGAAAAAGGAAAACGTACTAAGACCAGGTGGTGGGACAATCGGGACTCTCACCTCTGAGGAGCCCTCGGGAAAACTGGGCAGGCCTACTAAGGCCAAGCATCTGCACCCCGGACGCAGCCGTCCTGCTCCCGGATCTACGCCCGAGAGACGCGCGTGCACAGGTGCACCGGAAGAACGGTCACAGCAGCTTTACTGTAACAGCCGGAAACCAAAACCACCCAAGTGTTCTTCAGCAGAAGGAGCAGAAACTGGGCGCAATTACAAAAATCATGAATATACAAATAAATGGGTGGACCTCAAAACATTATCCTAAGTGAAAGAACCCAGACACCAAGGAGTATACACTGCCCGATTCCACTTACAGGAAGATAAGAATTAGCAGAAGTAAATGATGGTGACAGAAGTCAAAATACAGGTTACCTCTTGGGGAGTTACTGAGTAGGAAGGAAGCTTCCGGGGTGCTCGAATGTTCTGCATCTTGACTGAGTGGTGGTTACACAGGTACAAACACATATAAAACTTCAGTGAGCTGCCCTGGCCAGTGTAGTTCAGAGGACAGAGCGTCAGCATGCACATCAAAGGGTCGCCGCACATACCTGGGTTGCAGGTTCCATCCCTGGCCCCAGTCGGGGCGCATGCCAGAGGCAGCCAATTGATGTGTCTCTCTCACATCGTCTCTCTCTCTCTCTCTCTCTCCCCTCCCCTCCCTTCCACTCTCTCTGAAAATCAATGGAAAAAATATCCTCAGGCAAGGGTTAACAACAACAAGAAGTTCCATGAGCTGTACAGCTGAGACAAGACTAGTGAATTTTACATTCTTTATTGTAAGCATGCTATGCCTCAATAAAAAAGAAAAAGAACATTGGGGGGGTATAATTTGGGCAAAGCCTTGGTTCCACCCCTGCAAAGGCCAGTTTATTTTTTCTCCATTTTCCCCCCATTGTTATTAAAAAATGTTTTATTGTGGTAAAATACACATAACATAAAGTTTACCATTTTAACCATTTTAACAATGCGGCTCAGTGGCATCGAGCACATTCACAATATTGTGCAACTGTCACCACCACCATCTCTAGAACTTTCCCACCGTCCCAAATGAAACTCTGTCCCCACAGCCTACTTTCTAGGAGGAGAGATGATAAGAGTCTTAGTATTAATCAAGCAACTTTGGTCAAAATCTTTAACAAATTATTAATTTAAAAAACAAATTGCTAACACTGAAAGGATGGTTTGCATGCACTTCCAGAGACTAGATGTGACTGTAAACACATCTTCTGGCCAACTCTGTGACCCTCGTTCAACAGCAGGCCTAAATATGGCCCTTGGGTTGACGCAGAGGTCACTTGATTGCCCCTGCAGGAGCCCCATGACCCTTTCTATTTCCTAGTTCAGAGTAACAGGGTTGCTGCACCCAAGCTCTCCACCTCTAATGATCCATCAGATCACCAGTATAATTTTTATATGGCAACATCATGTCAGCAACTTTTTCTCAATAGAAAAAACAGTAACCACTATTATTCACTCTGCCTAGAAGCATGCCCAGGTACCTCCCTACATCCCCAAAGGAAAATCTATTCTGATTTTAGACTTTGAAAATCCCCCTGACAATACCCCAAGTAAAAAAAAAGGGAAATCATTGCAGTTAAGAGAATTCTTAATACAGTAATGCAAATGATATGCACTGAGTTCTGCTTTCCTCTCTCTGATCCTCTGACATTACTAAAATCAGCAAGTCTGACACAAAGAGGTATGAATTATCAAATTATAGCAAAAGGCCCAGGCAGGGAGCAAAGGCTCAGTCTGCAAAGCAGAACAGGGAATCCAACAAACAAGAGGAGAGCTGGGGCCAGAGATAAGGCTGCCTCTGCAATTCCACCACAGCCTCCGCCCATGTGGTGCCAGAGGGCAAGCTGCCCGCACCCCCCCTCCGCAAGAGGAGGTGAGATGACAGGCAGAGGCAACAGAGGACAGCAGGACCGGAGCCAGCAGGCAGTGGAAGGCGTCCCACGTCACGGTCCAGCCTGCATCATAAATAGATCTGATCTTGTCCTCTCTAGGCAAAAAGATAACTAAGGCATGCTACAGGCCAAGAGCATGCCATCTCCTTACTACTGAGTATGGGGGGCATGGGAGCAGCAAAGCTTTTCCAGGGAGCAGTTCATTTCCCCGGCACCTTCCACGAGGGATTCCGCTGGAGAAAGATTTATTGCTCAGAAGCTTTTCCAGAAAGCAGGACATACAGGCGTAAAACCAATTCTCCTTGTCCTCCCAAGCAAACAGCTGAAGCTACCGCCCTCTATCGCTATTTTTTGGACCAACCTCAGATACGGAAAGCTCCCAGTCTCAGTTACTAAATCTTGTTCTGCTCTGTTCGTGGCTGCATCTTCAGCTTTGTTTCCCGGGCATGGAAAGCAGCTTAGCACCACTTGAGATTCTGGTTTGTTACGGACAGTCCCTGTGCGGGAATGCGCTTCGGGGTTGCTTTGGTAATTCAGTACTTTCACTAACTGGCTCGCTGATATTTAAGCTGCCAAGCACCTGCACATGAAAGCTCACAAAAGAAAAAAGTGTAAATAACTCACAGATTAAACTAACTAAGAATTCTTCTCAATTCCCCAAAGATAGTGGGGGAAATCCAAAACTCTCAAATCGTCACCATAACATAACCCAGTGTCGGAAGGCAGGAGCAGGTTATGGCTGAAGCAGTGGTTCCCAAACCTGAGCGTGCATCAGGGGCCTGGGGGGGCTTGTTAAAATGCACACCGCTGCCTACGCCCAAGCCCCAGTTTGCCCACTACCACCACCACATCTCTGATTCCCTAGGCCTGGGGCGCGCCTGAGAACCTGCATTTCACCAGGTTCCTCTGTGCTGCTGCTGCTGGTCTGGGAAGCACACTCAGAACCAATGGGTTAGAGCAGCAGTGTCAGTGGAGAACAACACAGGCCACAGACATCATTTTAGACTTCTGGCAGTCACATTATAAGAGTACTGTGACTGCTGGACAAAACTGATTTTAAGAATATATTTTCTTAACCCAATATATTCAAAATATTATCAATCAATGTAAAATATATTAATAAGGCATTTTACTTGTTTTTGTACTAACGTCAAAATCTGGTATGTAGCCCTGGTCGGTTTTGCTCAGTGGTTAGACCATTGGCCTGTGGACTGAAGGGTCCCGGGTTCAATTCTGGCCAAGGGCACGTACCTCGGTTGCAGGCTTGATCCCCGGCCCCAGTCATGCAGGAGGCAACCAATCCATGTGTCTCTCTCACATCAATGTTTCTCTTTCCCTCTCTCTCCCTCTCTCTCTCCCCCTTCCACTCTCTGAAAAGCAGTGGAAAAAATATCCTCAGGTGAGGATTTTTAAAAAAAACATCTGGTGTGTATGTTACACTTACAGCACATCTCAATCTTGACCAGCTACGTTTCAAGGGCTCAGCTGCAACATGTGGCTAGTGGGTGTTACTCTGGGCAGTGCAGGTTTAGAGCACTCCCTAAGAAAGATGACATAACACTGACTGGGTTCCCACGACCTGTCAAGAACATGCCTAAATTATCAGACTCTGCTTTCTGGGCCTGAGGGGCCCTGACCCCCTGGCCACAGGAGACTGGGCAGGGTCAGTACATGCCTAGCCAAGCAGACCTTTCCCTATTCTTTTGCTTGATTTTCTTTCAAGCAAAACAGAAGTAAAGCAGCAGTCAGGCCTGGCCTTCCAAACAATGTGAGAGGCGTGCACAGGATGGCATCATGCTCATACCACACCCTGAAGAAGACCAGGCGCCAGCAGGTGACACAGCAGTAGAGGCAATTGGAAACCCAGCCTCTCTGAGCTCTAGTCCTGCACCTTTGTCCTGCCCACAATGACACAGGAACCTTAGGGTCTGTTCAGGACGTTCTTTTCAGGCAGAGCTAGCTCATGACAATGTTCTGTCATTTGCAACCAAGAAAGTCCTGATGAAGAGACCTGGGCCCTGTGAGTGTCCAGACAGAAGTGGCCTGCCCGCCTCGAGCTTCCCCTCCTGGTGCTGGACTGACTAGCACAGCAAGGCCTGCCCCCTGCCACCAGGGCCTCTGTTCCCGTTCTTTCACTGCCCCTTCAGAGTGGGCCGGCATTTGAAGTAAGAGATTTCATTCTACTTTGGTGGTTTTGTTTCAGTTTCCCTGTTTTTGACAGAAAAAAACATAGCTACCCATGCCCTATGTATCCCTTTAGTACAAGGCAGAGAGAGCAAGATGTTCTGTGTATAATTCAACTTCCCTGCCTGTGCGCAGGTTTTCATAGTAGAATACTGGGGAAGTGACCCGCTTGCCATGTCCTCTTTCTCTCCTGTTCTCCGATTTGTCGTCTCCTTTCCCTACCCACCCTGCGCGGGACTGGAGGATGGTGGAGCAGAGGAGCTGCAGGGGGCAGGTGGCGGGCCCTCCCTCAAGCCCTGCCGTTCTCTTTCCCAGCCTTGGGCCTGCAGATCCCAAGAATCAGACATGAGAGCAGAAAGTCTCTAACATGAGCATTTGCTTTTCCGCTGGCATTTTCCCTGTGGAACAAGTTTCCAAAATGCTCACCTATCAATGGCAGAAGTGGCCAGCATTTCTCTGTCCTCAGGGAACACCCCTGAGCTTCCAGAAGCTCAATTGATCTGTTACTGGGGAAATGTACGTATTCATTTGAAATTTAAATTAAAGATGTCTCCCAAGTGTGCTACAGGTCAAAGATAATAAAAACAAACATCATGGAAATATTGGTTGAGTCCAGGATAATAGAATAATAAACGAATTTATGCACGGAACACTATCCACATTTACTTTCACCTCAGAGCACAGGACAGCTACAGAACTTGCCAGAGGCTTCAAAGGCAGAAGAGGCAGAGGCAGGACCCCCACACCTGGTGGACTCGGGCATTTAGTAAATCCTGAGGCCTGCCAGGTAGCAGGCCCTTTTCTAAGCCTGAGGGACAAAGCAACAAACAAAAAGCCCTCACAGGCTTACACTCCAGCCATAGGAGACGGACACGCACCGATCAGGTGTGTGATGGCAGTCAGAGCCCAGAGGCAGGGTGAGGAGGGCGTATGGTGCCAAGGAGCACTTTATGTTGCCGTGGTCAGGGATGACATCTGATAAGGGGGACATCTGAGCAGACTTAAAGGAGGGGTAACGGGGAGGAATGCTCAGAGGGAGGAACACACCACTGCAGGAGCGAGCCTGGCTCACTGGAGGGTCAGCGCACTGAGCTCCAGGAGGCCACAGCCCCTGCACAGGGAGCCAGGGCAGGCGGCAGGGCGATGACATCTGAGCGGCAACGGGCAGGATCTCCAGGGCATTACAGACTGTTCCAAGGACTGTGCTTTTCACTCGGAGAGAATGGAGAGAGCCTCCAAGAAGGTTTCAAGCAGAGAAGAGATGTGATTTATGTATAAAAAGGACCACTCCGGCTCCTGCTGAGAATGGAACGACGGGTGCAAAGACGAAGCAGAGAGAGAGTTTGGGAAGTCAGTGCAAGAAGGGTGGTGGCACGACTCAGGGAGCCCCAGGGGAGGCAGTGGGAGTTGACATCTATTTTTAAGGTAGAAGTGGTGGCATCTGGCTGATGGACTACGGGATGTGAAAAAGGATGGAGTTGCTGCTGACTCAAACGGGCAGATTCAGGAGGAGCAAGTTTAGGGAAGAGTGAGACGTGGATGGGAAGGAACCAAGACCCAGTTTTGGACATGTTACCTTCAAGGTACCTTTCGGGCATCTAAGAGGCAATGTCACAAAGGCAGTGGAGGAGGGGTCCTGGTTGGAGACACAAATGGATGCCATGAACCCATGGTATTCATGAGAATGGACACTAACACCCAGAACAATTTTCTCAGTAGGGACGGTGCTGTCCCTCAAGGAGTGTGTTGGGAATTTGTGGGGACATTTTTAGTTGTCACCATGATTGGAGGTGCTACTGATATTTAATAGGTGGGAGGGCAAGGGACCTAGATGTCCAACGATAGATGTGACACTCCTGCATAGAGAACTGTCCGACCCCCACACAATGTTCACATACTCTGCAGACATGCTCTGGGAGGACACTGTTGTTATCGGAGCCCAGAGCGTCCCCTCTCTTTATACGCAGCAGCAGTGTGCTTCTTGCACAGCCCTGAGACACAGTGAGCTTTCTCCGAACAAGGGAAGACTGCATTGGGTTCAATCTTTACCAGGAGTGCTCAACACCCACGTCAGTCCCTGCATGTCCTTCACGGTATCTGAGAGACAGACACAACAGCCCTGCCCCAGACTGCATCGCTGTCACACGCAGTGTCCAAGGAGCATCCACAGCCTTCCGCACAGTCAAGCCGAGGTATATGTGGAGAGAACTCCGGGTTATTTAATTATAAACTATTTTCCTTTTATAGCTAGGATATTAGACTGATTTTTCAAAAGTGTGTGTGTAGGTAGGTTATACTCCCTCTGACTTCATCTCAGGGTAGTAAAGGAGGTATTGGGTATGACACAGTAACTAGAAAAGAGCTGAGGCCCAAGGACCATGCCCTAGGCCCACCTGATATTAGAAACCCAGGGCAGGAGGAGGAGTGGGCACGGAGACTCCTGCCCCCGAGGGAAGAGACAACTGAGAGGAGAAGGCTGATTGCTGAGCAAAACAAGGATGGAGACCGGCCACTGGATCATCAGATCGTTAGTGATCCTGACCCCACCTAGTGGGGTGCTGGGGGCAGAACTCTGGCTAGAGAGTCCATGTAATCCAGGGCAGGGACCTGAATTACTGGTAAACATTTGGCAGATTTTCCGTCTCGATCCCAGGTGCCCCTGCTACATCCCTTTGCTCTGCTCCTTTAGGTGAAGATATGCTGGTTCTCCCGGGACCCTCCGTGGAGGCTCTGTTCCAGCCCTGGGAGGCCACAGCCTTGCTTACTGCCCTCCTCAGTCCTCCCGAGCAGGGACACGACACCCAGCCTCTTGGCCCCGTGTGTTTCAGTCTATACCTTGCTGAGCTGGGACTCAAAAGCCAGCGAGGTTGAAGACTTAGAACTCTTCATGCCCGAAGAGGCTGTGGGGAGGGGCCGCGCTCGGTCAGTCCCATGGCTCCCCACTCTGGTCACCGGGCTCCAGGGCTTGGCTGAGCTCCTCATGGTCGTCAAGCAGGTCTGTCTTTCTGTAGAAGAGCAGAAAAGAAAAACATGTGTCCACACAGGAGCCTGCAAAGAGACCTCGCCGAGCCTTACCCCGCCAACCACGTCCCCCCGTCACACGGAGCCAGCGCTCATGGCTGCGCTGCAGAGAGTGCTGCTCCTGAGACAATGCCCTTGAACCAGGCTAATTCTTACAACGTTACAACAGCTGTTACCAACTGTGAAGACGTGTGCAACACTACTGATGTTCTGACCTTGCTCCTCAGCCCTTAGTCAGAGATGCCTAAGACAGTATTACTATATACCCACAAGCTATATGTGTGCATGCGTCCCCGTGTAAAACAGGTCAGCCTGGGCCAAGACACACCATGTCCATAAGCCTTGTAGCTTTAGGGCCGACAATGCCACAACCCACCTAATTTTTAAATAGACATAAATGAATTATCTGAAAATTAGATTTCACAGAAGAACAGCTTTTTTCTTCTTTTGGACAAAAATGGATAGCATTTAAAAATTAATAGAACATATTTTAACTGGTCAGACTTGATATTACAGCACAGAGTTACTGCTATAACTAAAATATTTTGCCCGGCGGGGTGTGGCTCAGCGGCTGCACATCAACCTAGGATCCAGGAAATCTCAGTCTGATTCCCAGTCAGGGCACATGCCTGGGTTGCAGGCTTAATCCCCAGTCGGGGGGGTGCAGGAGGCAGCTGATCGATGACTCTCTCATCATTGATGTTTCTCTCTCTCAATGACTGTCATCATGGATGTTTCTACCTCTCTCCCTTCTTTTCTCTGAAATCAATAAAGATATATTTTTAAATAAAATAAAATAAAATATTTTATGAAAACAAAATTGCTCTAAATAGCAACATGCAGTTAGACCTACGGGAAACCCCACATACAAAGACCCGGAAGGCAGGCTGGGTCCTCGATCAGCAGTCAGTGTGGCCGGCATCTCAACCTCTCTGAGCCTGTTTCTTCCACCAGTGGCACAATGATAATGAATTAAATGCTCTCCAGGGTCTCCTCCAGCTCCAACCCTAAGTCTGCCTGTCCCCAAGGACTCTGATGACCAGGAGTGTGAGACAAAATACCAAAACCTGAGATAAAGCTTCATCCTTTCAAGGAAACAAACTAAAATATGCACTTTAAAATACACCAATAGGTAATTCCAGTGGCCACACTCACAGTACCTGGGGGTCTAATTAACTGCCCCTGAGGGATGATGGCTGGTGTTAAGCAGCCCTGGGCCTTCTCCCCATCACCGCTCCCAGGACAGCCCATTAGCCATCTATGAGGAAACAACAGAACCCCCCCCCCACCCTCGCTCAGGCTGTGACCTCTTCCTGTTCTTGTCTACTTTTCCTGGCCAGAGGAGACCATTTCAACTGAGTCTCTCGGCCAGAGCCACCCAGTTCCTATCCCTACTTTTTTTTCACATCAAAGCAATTCAGTTTATTTCCTGGCACTTGGTTGGAATAAGGGCATCAGTCAATCCATACAGAATGGAGGGGTTCATTTGAGAGAAGCGAAGTAGAGGTAGCAATTTGGGATGGTTATGAAACAGGACAGATCTCACTGGAAGAGTAAGATACAGAACCTTACTGACACTTAGAAGCTTGCACTGGGAGTCTAGTCAGTTTCTCCATCAACATGATTTTTTTATTAAAAAGTCATCACAATTGAAAAGCAGTTCCGGTGGTGAGTGGGTGGGTGGGAAGACATTAACCAAAGAACTTATATGCATATATGCATAACCCATGGACACAGACAATAGTGGGCTGAAGGCCTGAGGCAGAGAGGGGGCAGAGGCAGGGAAGAAGGGGTCGATGGGGGCAAAAGGGAGACATCTGTAATACTTTCAACAATAAAGATAAATTAAAAAAACAAACAAGCAAAAAAAACAAAACAGTCCCAAAGATACCCCGGAAAGGAAACAGCTCTGTGCTTGCCCAAGCTATAACTAAAAATTTATAACAAACTGGTTCATTGTTTTATAAGACATTCTAAAGCCAGTTTTACATTTTAAGATATAAAAACATTAGGGCTTCATTTCACTGGTGTCCATTTTTTAATGAAAAAATAATTGAATTTGAATCTGAATGATTTGGAAGTTTTCCTTTGAGTTCCACTGGCTCATAAAAGGTATCCTTATGCTTCCGGATCCAAGTCCATTTTATGTCCCTCCCCCTCCATTTATTCTCCTTCAGCCCTGTCTTTTCTCTTCCTGTGATGGCGAGTCTTATTCAAGTCTCCATCATGCCATTCCATGGAAGACTTGTCTCTGTTCCTTCCATATGAAGACCAACCGTTACACATCTGCAAAAATATTCTTCCGTGGACACTTTCCATCACATTATCCCGTTGGTCAAAAACTTCAGTCTCCTTGAGACCCATATTTTAGTGGTTCATTCATTTATGTGTTCATTCAACAAATATTTACAGAGTGTTTACTACATACTAGGCACTATTCTAGGCACAGAGGAAACAACAGTGAACAAAACAGACAAAGAGAAGCATTGCTCTCACGAAGCTGTATTACTTACTCACTAGAATCCAGTGGACCCTTCATTCTCGACCAGCTAGATCGAGTAAGACCCTGCCAGCCCTTCCCTTTTCTGTCCTCTCCTGTCTCCCAGTTCCTTCCTCTCCAAGCAGCAATCTGCTTACTCTCCAACACAGATTCCCTGAGCCAAGAGAACTGCTTTCTTACCCCCATTCCTGCTCTCCAACAATTCTCTGACTCCCACACGGGCGTGTGCCTTTGCTGGTCCTCACACCGGGAATAGTCTCTCCTCTCCTTCTCCAAGTTCTGACTCTAATAGCGTAATAAGTATCTTCCTCGCTGACAGTTCCTTCAGCACATCTTCCCCACACTATTCTTATTCACATTCGATGGAAAATCCCTGTAGGTATCCATGAGTTGTTTCCTAGGGCAATGCTTGCTGCCTCCAGCTAAATAGATAAATATAAATATTCCAAGCACTGAATGAGTCAGTGAGGTAGAGCAAAAAGAGTCCTGGCCCAGCAGCTGGGCGATCCAGTTTCTCTCCTGGCTCTGCTACTCACTACCTAGCATAAATCTTGAGCACCTTGACCACGTCACTTAACTGCTTCAGACTTCAGTTATCTCCCTCACCAAAATGAGGAGGTTTGATCAGTAACATGGCTGGTCTATCCAACTTCCTTTGCCATTCTTCAATTCTATTACTTTTCATTCTGCAATCACCATTTTTTATAGTAGCATTCTTGTTTTAATTGAATTTATTACATTGGTTAGTAAAATCATATAGGTTTCAGGTGTACAATTCTATAATACACCATCTGTATATTGTATTGTGTGCTCACCACCCCAAGTCAAGTCTCCTTCCATCACCATTTATCCCCCCTTTACTCTTCACCTTCTCCTGCCCCCATTTCCCTCTGGTAATCACCATAGTGTTGTCTATGACTAACAGTTGTTTTTCAGTTTAATCTCACTTCACCTTTTTCACCCAGCCCCCAAACCACCCTCCCCTCTGACAGCTATCAGTTTGTTCTCTGTATCTATGAGTCTCTTTCTATTTAGTTTGCTAGTTTATTTTTTTCCTTAGATTCCACATAAATGAGATCATATAATACATGTCTTTCTCTGACTGGCTTCTTTCACTTAGCATAATGCTCTCCAGGTCCATCCATGCTGCCTCAAAAGGTAAGATTTCATTCTTTTTTATCACTAAGTAGTATTCCATTGTGTAAATGTCCCACAGCTTTTTATTCACTCATCTACTGATGGGCAATTGGGCTGCTTCCAAATCTTGGCTACCGTAAATACCACCACAATGAACATAGGGGTACATATAGTCTTTCAAATTAGTGTTTCAGGTTTCTTCAGATATATTCCCAGAAGTGGATACACTGTGTCATAAGGAAGTTCCATTTTTAATTTTTTGAGGAAACTCCATACTGTTTTGCATAGTGGCTGCACCAATCTCCATTCCCAGGAATGGTGCACAAGAGTTCCCTTTTCTCCACAACCTCACCTACACTTGTTTTTACTGATTTATTGATGGTAGCCATTCTGACAAATGTGAAGTGATATCTCATTGCAGTTTTAATTTGTATTTCTGTGATGATTAGTGACATTGAGCATCTTTTAATATGTCTATTGGCCATCTGTATGTGATCTTTGAGGAAGTGTCTATGTAGGTCCTTTGCCCATTTTTTAATTGGATTGTTTTTGTGTTGAGTTTTATAAGTTATTTATAAATTTTGGAAGTTAATCCCTTATCAGAGGTATCATTGGCAAATATGTTCTTCTATTCAGTGGGTTGTCTTTTCCTTTGATGGTTTCCTGTGCTGTGCAAAACCTTTTTAGTGTGATACAGTCCCATTTGTCTAGTTTTGCTTTTGTTGCCCTTGCCCAAGAAGATATATCAGAAAAAATATTGCTATGAGAAATGTCTGAGATTTTTATGGCCTATGTTTTCTTCTAGAATTTTTATGGTTTCCAGTGTAACATTTAAATCTTTAATCCATTTGGAGTTTATTCTTGTGTACGGTTTAAGAAGGTGGTCTAGATTCATTTTTTGCACATATCTGTACAATTTTCCCAACACCATTTATTGAATAGACTATCTTTATCCTATTTTATATTTTTGCCTCCTTTGTCAAATATTAATTGAACATAAAGGCATAGGGTCTACTTCTGGGCTCTCTATTCTGTCCCATTGATCTACATGTATATACCATGATATTTTGATTACTACTGCCTTGTGGTATAGTTTGATATCAGGTAGCACGATTCCTCCAACTTTGTTCTTCTTTCTCAACACTGCTTTGGCTATTCTAGGTCATTTGTGGTTCCATATAAATCTTTGGAATATTTGCTCTAATTCTGTGAAATAAGCCATTGGTATCATTTAAAAAAAAAAAAAAGTTTTTATTGATTTTTGAAAGAGAGGGAGAGAGAAAAATATCAATGAGAGAGAAACATCGATCAACTGCCTCCTGCACGCCCCCTACTGAGGAT